ACCTTCATTTATTCTGGGCCACCCGTTATATTTAAGATTTGTTGTCATTTTTTGCGCTGGTTCCGAATATGTCATTGCTGTTGCTCTGATATTCAACCATGATGATGGCCATTGCAACGTATGATTGCATGTTAGCTAAGTTTGCCTGCTTTTATTGATGTGATTAGGAAAGCTTGGCTTTTTTCCAGCATAAACAAAAGGATGAATAAAGATAAGGTTATTTTTCATCTCTCATTATTTTTGCATAAAAATCACCTAGACATAATAAGTCAACTATTGAAAACATTTTCTATCACTTAGTGTTGCGAAATTCATCGAATGGGTTTTGTCAAGTCAACACTCCTTTCCCTCAGGAGGTGGTCGACAAATTTTTATCTTTATCTATTGCAGTAAGCACATCACTCGATAGGAAATTTCACATTGATTACAAATATCACCTTTGAATTTCAAAAAGAATGAAATTTTGCCGGAGTAACCCAACCTTTACCTTTCGGTTTGCATTTCGAGAAGGATTTAGTTTTCACTATTAGTTTATATTAGAAACAAGTCTGAAATAGTCAAACGTGTTTTTATAGACAAAAATTGATGATTTATCCAACGCATATAAAATGACGATTGAAAATACTCCAGTTCAGCTTTATTGAGACTCTAAACTGTAAACTTAATGGAAAATCACTGCTTTCTTACAAATTGACACCTTTTCTGCAGCTAATTCAATCTCTATGCAATGCATTTTATATATTTTTAGATGTAGGTGTTCATATTAATTTCGAAAATAAGTGCAAAATTAAAAAAAAGAAATAATGAAAGAAATGCTTATTTTGAGCGAAAGCCAAGAAAATTCCGATTTTGAAGCCTATATTCGCTTGATTACGACTTCAGAGATGATTTACGTTTCAATTTAAACATCATATTTGAGATCAGTAAGCAAAACTACATCTGAGAACCTATTCATATTACCTAATTTTTTTTTCTTCAAAATCTCACCTGTGATACTAGACAATAGTGAAAAGCTTATTGTTTTCAAAGGACTGGTAAGATCCTGAGCCAGATTCAAAATCGTTCAAAACAAGAGAAAGTCGTTAATTAATTGCATCCATGGAAATTGGAGCAATTTTGAAAACAGAAAATTTGTTCACTGTTGTCTAGGTGACCCTAAATGAGATTTTCAACCAAAAAGGAGTTTTTTTCTAATTGTATAAAATAGACTTCAGACATAGATTCAGTTGCTGATTTTGAATATGGTATTCGAATGGAAATTTGAAACTTCTTTGAAGTCGGAACCAGGCAAATATAGACGGAAGACCGAAATTTTTCTAGTTTTCGCCCCAAATGAGTATTTCTCATATTCTCTTGTTGTTTCAATTTTGAACTCATGGATTAATCATTTCTCACAGAAAATTAGATGGATTTATACAGATATCTACTTAGATCAATCGAAAAGATGTGGCGTAGGTACTTGAAAGATATGGGTGAAAATGAGGATGAACAGAAGATCTGACACCTTCACACTAAAACAAATACTCGTAGCCACCCGAACTCTCACTCTAAAAGAAGGCTCCATTTCTTCTGTTGCTACAGATGACACTCGTCTCTACTTTGAGTAAGCCAGGGTGTGGGTGTGAGTAAATAGTTCAGGACATCCACATCCACACTCTCGATTCGTGAAAACGATAGCATTTTAATTTTCTTCTTAAAAGATGCGTCGTCGAAAGATCTACAAAAGCTTTATAGACAAATCTGTGATGAAGTTTTGAAAATTTTATTTAACTCTGCTTTTGTTCATTAACAGTTTAGAACAATATATAGCGCGCAAAATGGCAAAACGAGTTGTCGTAAAGGAAAAGTTTTTAAATTTCATCTCATTTCAAGCACCATCAATTGTACTTTTTCTTATTTTATGGTGTGTTCGGTGTGTTAATAGATGACATAGACAAACTGAACGAAAATGTCCTACAAATGTACTGCTCTTATTCAAAAACGTACCAAAACGCTACCGAAGATGATAAATTAATCAATCCGAACAATTTGTTCTCTCTATACATAGAATACCCAATTTTCTGTGACTTATATTTTTACAGATTGTAAGCATATCTATGAGTGTGCGGGTATGAGTAAAAGGAACACCCACACCCTCTTTTTAAGGGTGCTTCTCTTTTCTGTTGCGCCGTTTCATTTACGAAAGTGTTATAAAATAAGTTATATACGATTGGAAAGAGAAGAGAAAGCTCTATGGTTTGGTTACAAAACTTTTATTTTAGCGTCCTTTTATCCAAGAGAAATAGAGACTGACATTTTGTGCCATTACTTTTGAATCACACATTACTTAAAAAGTTTCTGAAAAACGTTTAATGATATCCTCATATTTATATTTCTTGTTTCTTAAATGAGAACCTCTATTTTTCTACAGTAAATATACATTTGAATACTCCTTAAAATCACTTTTTCTTTGTTGAATTTACTTAAGTAGTTACAAATATATATATCCATAAGAAAAATTATGAGAACTTTTTTCCATATATTAAAACAAGAGAAAAAGAATGTAAATATTTCCGCTTGTACAGCATTTGACGCTCTATAAAAATATGTAATTTATTTGAATTTTAATCTTTCCTTATTCTCTCGTCCAACATCAACACTATTTTACCGTCTGTAATAGAGCTGGCAGCGCGCAGATCATATGAAAAGAAAGAGGACTCTTGTAGTGCCACACTGACGAGAAAGTTTTCTCTCTTATCAGTTTTTTTCCGAGGAAAAACAGCAAAACTTTCACAAAAAAATGCCTGTATACTCACTTTGTAGAGTGATGCTTTTTCCGAAAATATTTCAGAACGAACTCATTCAATAGTATTTTTTACAGTTACAGTTTAACTTAGCTAAATTCGGCGAGCAAACCTGAGTGGATTGCGTACTGTCCTGGCTACTCATCTATCATTCAAATCTAAAAATGATTCAAAGCTTTTCAACGAGTAAAGCCACTTTCACTATTGAATTAGGCAGAGATTGAACTTTACAGGGTGTATTTTTCTCAATATCTAATAAAGTGTAGGAAAACTTTGCCATACAATGCAAGACCAACTTTCAATTTTCCGAGCCACTTGTGTCAAAAAGTTGCAATTCACTTATATATCAGTGTCAATTTGATTATATCTACCGCTGTTCTGACAACGTAGAAGCTCCCTAGTTTCTAAAGAGTAGAATTTCAACAAAATATTGAAAAAAAAAGGGCTTTATACTCAAACCAGGAATGAAATGCTGATCTTCGATATGCATGATTAAGGGTGAAAAGAGAGCTTAGAAAATTCTCTTGATCATTTATCTCATCGTCTTCGTCAAATCTCTAATGTATTCACGTCACACTGGTCTCTTAGCTGCTAAGATATCGGAAATCAAAGAAAACACATTCGACTCATTAATATATATTTTCGTCAATATATAGAATGTTTCAAAACTTCTGACTCGACTCGAACAATAACTTTTTCTACTTTTGAAATATGTCATTGAACAGGTGACTGTAAAGAGAAAATGTAGAGGACAAAAATGCTTAAGACATTGCTTTCTATAAACAATCATTTGTTATCACACATATTACAATCAATGTTCACCTGCACGATTTCTCTTTACATCGATTGCCTTGTTAAGAAGTCTAAAGCCAGATTTTGAAATATTTTTCTTTGTATTTTTTCTTATATAAGTTTCCATCTATTTTTAATTGATTATGTATCTCTTCATTCGGTATACGTATCATCTAATTCTAAACGTTCTTCCAAAAAAATTCATGAATGAGGATATGCGAGAAACCAAGATTCCGCCTGATATCAACACAGAGACCCACACTCCTTTCTTGAGTATTCTAACTTTCCAGAAAGAAAGGATACATTTGATTGCAAAGTCACAACTGTATTTCAGACATAAATGCTTACAAATCTGATTGATTTTTAGCTGGAGTATCCTAACATTGGACGCTGAAAGCCAACTATGGAGCTTCAAACTTTATCTCTAATTAAGAAATCGATCTATACAGAAGTTAGAATGATTTCTTTCTTTGATATCCTAATTTTACGGAATCAAAGTATACTATAGGCATAAAAAACGAAAATATATTAAGTCGCACTAATATTAATTAGTCAAGAGTTTGTTAAGTGATCATGAATCTAATAGGAAAATACTAATAGTCATATATATTTATTTGTAAATAATTTATCCTAAAAAATATAGTAAATGATTTGTTAAGCAGCACATATACGTATTTACAAATGCTTTTTTTATTTATGTTCACAACTTAAACGAGAAATTATTTGAAATGTGACTAAGTCATTTATAAATATCGTACGATTTATAAATATTTTAATTTTTTGCCGGTTTCTATCAATTTTCACTTTTCAAAAACCAATGCGAACTCTTCAATGATATCGATAGAAGAACTCTATTAGTGAACTTTGGAATGACTCGTATACTTCAAAGTCGACCTATTTCAACTTATATGCGCTAAAATTTACATTCAGTTGTATTCATTGAAATCGATGTAAAATTAAATGAATTTTCAATTCTAGGCCTTTCTCATTTCAAATATAATTAGCGACTTTTGTAAAAATAAAAACTATTGTTTTAAAAAGGACACTGGAATATTAATGATCGAGAACAGTCTTCAGCTTTGAAACTTTTGCAAGTTGTAGGATATACTATCTTGATATTCATCTGCTTTTAGTACCACTGAAAATTTTTCAACCATTAAATGATATCAATGTCCTTCTTGGTCAAAGCGGCACGTTATCATTCACTTGTGATGAATTTTCATCACTGACAGTAACATGGTTAGTGATCTGAATGAATTCTAACTTCAGTAGTTTGCTACTTGCTTCTTTCAATCAGGTTCTTCAGTGATATTGAACTGACAAACTCTACCAAATACAAGATCGAATCCAAACAAAATATCTTTACACTCACCGTCAACAAATGCAATCTTTTTGATGCCGGTACGTATCATGCTCAAATTCAAAATGGCATCGATCAGACTAAACAAACCGCCAAACTTAATGTTCGAAGTTAGTAGTCTCATCATCTTCTATGCACAATATGAACGACCCCTTGTTTTCTTAGTTCAACCCAAAGTGGAAGCTCCGAAATCCGTAAACGATCGATCATGTGTCTTCGGTCAAGATAGTCAAATTTCATGGAAGTTCAGTGGTATCGAGAAACCCCAAGTGGCATGGTTCTTCAATGGTCAACCAATTTCAACCAACAATCGTTTTCAAATGACTGAGACTGGTGATGGAACATCGACACTATCGATTCGTCAAGCGGAACTTGCCGATCAAGGTGTTTATACTGCTCGAGCAACGAATGCTGTTGGTGAAGCTGAAGCTAAAACAACATTGAGAATTACTTGCATCAAACCTGTCATTAACACTGATCTCAATGCTGCACTGCAAGTCACAAAAGGTGAAACCAAGACACTCAATATCAGTGTCAGTGGAACACCGAAACCTAACATTTTCTGGATGAAAGGCAACACTGAACTCACACCCAATGTTCGTATTAAAGTGAAAACACCGATTCAGGATGATGATACATATACACTGACTATCTTACACATACAACCAGAAGACCAAGGAGAATATTCAGCCAAGATTTCTAATGTTGGTGGATCACTTCAATCCAATAAGTGCAAAGTCACTGTTTTAAGTACGTTACCTTAACCTTTATTGTTCTTAGACACATATGCCATTGTAGAATCGCCAGTGTTTGTTGCCAAACCGACAACACAAAAAGTGGAAGAAGGTAAGACAGCATTGTTCAAGGCACAGATCGATGGATATCCGCCACCAACGATCAGTTGGCTTCTGAATGGCAAAAAGCTGATAGCAAAAGAAGGTACTCAAATGCAGTTCGATGCTACGACTGGTCAAGCGAACTTGTCCATTCAAAATGTCAATCTAGAACAGCACGTAGGTTTGATTAAA